GAAGAAGTGACTGGATTTTAACTAACTTTATTTTTCCTAACACTTTAAATACTGCAAAGTGGAGAAGTTATAATCAGAGCTAAGTAGACACCAGGGTTTTCTACCTCAGTGTACTCACAGTGAGTCAGGATATGGCAGAATTATACTAGAACCTAGAATTAAAAGATGCAAAAGCACATTTTTTTTTGCATTTTCATGTCACCACTGGGTATATGAATCTCCTCTACTTTTCAAAAATTATTCCATATTCACAAAACCCTGTAAACGCATCATTGGAGAACTGATAGTCCAATACTTAAGCAATGGATTGAAGACATAAAAAGATTAAAAGGTACGAACTTCTGTTTTCTGATATCATGCTATAATTGCATCAATGTGTAGTTAAGAAAAAATTTTGTTACCATCTATCTGAGGTGACCAGAAATATAAAAGACAATGTGAACACATGCAGAGGGTGTTTGTAACAACTTAAATCTGTGACTCACAGTAGGTCCTGAAGTAGAAAATCAGCTGGAGGGAAATTTGAAGAGAAAGTGAAGGTTCCTTTAGGTAAGTAATTACATTTATTAGATTATCTCCTAAAGATTGGGGACCCTCTTTTCTTTAGTCTTTCAGAGCCCAAATGCCTCATATGCTCTCTTGTTACCAGTCAGAACTCAATGCTGACTCTTCTCCCCTCAATTACCACCTTACTCAATCATAACCAACTTTCTTTATGGTGTCCCCAGTTTCAAAATCAGACATCCTTTTTTTATACATTCCATCAAGACATTAACTCCCACATGTTATTTCAACTAAGTATTTAAAAAAAGCATAGCTAAATAAACTTTATTCTTGATGTTAAAATTTCAAAGCAGCATAGAACAGTGTAGTTAAACACTTCAGGCATTTTGGAGCTATGTTCTGGGACATAATGATATTCCCAAAGCCTCTTAGAACTTTCAACCTGAATAATTTCTGAAAGCCTAATCATTAAATCAGTCAAGAAACTTTTATTAAGCTCCTACAGTGGGTCAAACACTATAACATGTTTAGGAGATATAAAGCAAACAAATAAACCTGAATATAATCCTTCACAGACCTTACAATTGAGTTGAAGAATATATAATTTGCATATATAGATATATGAAAAAAGAATACACAATAGATGGAAGATGATTTCATAGGAAAGTCCAATAATTTGAGCAAATCAAAAAAAAAATCTTATGTAGTAGGTGACAATTGAGTTGAGATTTGAAGAACTAGTGATTCTGAGATACTTTGGTGAGAAAGAAATACATTCCAGACAGGGGAAACAAGGAGAAACAGAGGCACAAAGATGGGAAAAACAAAAAGGCCAATTTATCTGGGTTGTGTGTCTTGCAGGAGAGAGCTATGCAATCTCCCTGGTAATAAACATTGTAATCCGTGGTATATGAATGTAATGGAATACTATTGTGCTATAAGAAATGATGAGTAGGTGGACTTCAGAAAAACCTGGAAAGACTTAAATGATCTGCTGCTGAGCAAAGTAAGCAGAACCAGAAGAACATTGTACACAATAACAGGCACATTGTGCAATGACTAACTTTGTTAGACTTATCTCTTATCAGCAATACAAGGATCTCAGACAGCTCCAAAAGACTCTTGATGGAAAATGCTGTCCACATCTAGAGAAAGAACTATGGAGTCTGAATGCAGATCAAAGTGTATTATTTGCTTTCTCTTTTTTTGTTTCTTCTTTCTTGTGATTTTTTTCCCATTGGTACTAATTCTTCTTTACAACATGACTAATGTGAAAATAGGTTTAATATGAATCTATACGTCGAACCTATATCAACTTACAGACCATGTTGGGGTGGGGAAGGGGAGAGATGGGGAGGAAATTTGGAACTAGAAATCTTATGGAAGTGAATGTTGAAAAGTAAAAATAAATAAAAATGTATTAAAAACAGGAAAAAATTAAAATAAATATTGTAAACTATTTTCAAAACAGAAGTTTATATTTGAGATTGGAAGTATTGGCAAAGCCCTGCAGTTTATCAAGTAGGGGAGTGATGTACTCATGTTTGTGCTTTAGGAAAAATCTTTTGGAAGCTGTGTGAAGAATAGAGGAGAGATATGAGTCAGGGACATCAATTAAGAAGTTACTGTAATAACAATCTAGGAATGATAGGCGATAAGAATATGAAATAGGGTTGTGTTTGAGTGAGTGAAGAGCAGGGAAAAGATGTGCAAAATGTTCAGGAAATTGTTGTGGTCCTTCATTTTTGAAGAGGACCAAAATGACATCAATATGTTAGAATCAAGTTACAGTATGTCTGATTGTGGCTGATCAGACCAATAGAGCTCAGAATGCTCTACCACAGGTCAGCACAAATAGTCCATATAAGCATTTGGGGTGGATTCTCTAAATTTGCACATCTCACATGTCTTTTGTGCTACTTCAATTCTGCTTTGCTTATAAAGCACAGCACCTTCTCTACTGAGGGCATGCCATGTTGGGCAGATGCTGGGCCTCAAGGCTACAGGTTCTCTGCCTCTAAGAAATTAGGCAGTTTACCTTTATAATTTCTTAAAATTTTACATCTAGATTCTTTTTATTTAAAGTACTGCTTTCTGTAGTCCAATAATTCTTAAACTATCTCTCCTTCATGTATTTTCCAGGTCAGTTCTGTTTCCAATGAGATATTTCACATTTTCTTCTTTTTTCATTCTTTTGACTTCGTTTTATTGTTTCTCGATGTCTCATGGTGTCATTAGCTTCTACTTGATAATTCTAATTTTTAAGGAGTTATTTTCTTTAGTGAGCTTTTGTAAGTCTTTTTCCATTTAGTCAATTGTGCATTTTAAGTTCTTTTCTTCAGCGAATTCTTGTCCCTCTATTTCCATTAGGTCAATTTTGTTTTTGAAGATGCTACTTTCACTGATGCTTTTTGTGCCTATTTTACCAAGTTGTTAATTATCTTTTCATTTTCATTGCATCACTGTCATTTCTTTTCCCAATTTTTCCTCTACCACTCATCTCTTTCTTTAAGTCTTCCAGGAATTCTTGATGAGCATGGGTTCAATTTGTATTTTTCTTTGAAGTTTTGGTTTCAGGGGTTTTCAAGATGTTTTCTTCTGAGTTTGTCTTGATCTTCCCTGCCACTGAAATAACATTTTATGGTCAACTTTTTATTGTTTACTCTTTTTTTCTAGCCTCTTTCTTGACTTTGAACTTGATCTTAAATACAATTGGTCTCTGTTCACCTGGGGTTAGAGAAGACTTTCCCAAGCTCCAGGCTTTTTATGACACTGTTTTCAGAGCTAATTCTGGGGGTCTTAAAGTTTTCAGTGCATCCAAGGTGGCTTGATCTGGGGAGAACAATGGTCATGCTCTCCTGGTCTGTGCTTTTGTCTTTATTCAGAAGTGTCCTTGGTGCCCTGCAGCTGCAAGAGCTAGCTTGGCCCTGAAACTATGACCAAGGCCCCTGTTCTCCTGTAGCCAGAAGTATTACTTACTCCTTTCTGCCTCATATCTGAGGTCAGAGCCCCCATTCCCTTGTGACCTCCACCCTAGAACTGCAACTCAGAACTGCCTTGGGCAATAGAGTTACTAATCAGAGCCAGCTGTACCCAGTGCCAGCAAAGGGTCCTTGGTAATCACTTTCTGACTAATTGTTCAATCCCTTTACTGTGTCTGGGCTGAAAGCTCCCAAAGCTTTTGCTGCTGTTGTTGTTGTTGCTGCTGCTGCTCCTGCCCCCAGGTCCCATTGCTGGTGCTCCTGCCATGTTTCAGGCCAACTCCCACCCCTGCATCCCTGTGTCATGGACCTCTCCTGCTAACCTCCTGAATTGTCTTACTCTGGAAAAATGTTTCTCTCTGACTTTTCACTGACTCTGCCACTTCAGAATTTAATTTGAGGGGTTGTTTTAAAGTTCTTTGGAGGGGAATGTTGAGAGGGCTCAGCCGGGTTATTGCTCACTCTCCATGCTCTTGATTCTGCCTCCAAAAATCACATAATTTATCTGATCCTGGTTAAATTATCTTTAAAAATGGTCATAATGCCACTTGAACTACTTTTAGCTCAGAAATCCAAAGGACAGAGCCCTTGATGAGCAGTTAGGAAGAGCAGAGTTCAAATGTGAACTCAGACACATCTTCTGTGTGTTATTCCAACCAAGTCACTTATGCTGTCTTATTCAGTTTCTATACCTTAAAATGTGGGTAAGAATAGTAACTACTTCCCAAGATTGTTGTAAAGATAAAATTAAATATGCATAGAGTGCTTTGAAAGCATTAAAACACTATGTGAATGCTACTGTCATGGTGGCACAGTTTACAAAATGCCAGACTGGGAGTCAGGAAGACTTGAGTTCAAAGCCACACTCGGGAAATTATTATCTGTTATCCTGAGCAAGTCTTCTCTTAAGCTCTATCTATCTAAGTTTCTGCATTTGTTAAAATGGGTGTAATAATACCACCTACCTCCCAGGGTTGTTGTTAGGATAAAATAATACAGTATTTATGAATCATTTTGCAAACCTCAAAGAGTTATTTAAATGATAGCTATTATTAACTACCATAATTTTGATTATTTCTTCCTTCACCATCTTGCCATCTTCACCTGAAAGCTCCCATGATGAATTAGTGTTATAATCTTTTAAAACCTACATGTGGCTGTGTGACCCTAGGCAAATCACTTAACCTCATCGCCTAGCCCCCCCAAAAAAAAAACAATAAACCTACATTTGTCAAGACACTGTTTTATTATAATCTTTTTCAATGTGAGAATTTTATTCAGAGACTCATATGCTCCTTGGGAATTTGAAGAAAACAAAGATAAAAGTCCAATCTCCCTATTTAACAAATGAAAAACACTAAGGCTGACAGAGAGTGTGATTTGCCCAAGCTCACACATTGGGAAATTCAGAACTAGAACTCAGGTGTCTTTACATTCAACACAATAAGTATTCTCCTCATCCATTGACATCTATTACTTTTCTTTATGCAGACATTCAAGTGAACCTAACAGAGTATGGCCAACCTCACCATGATCACAGGATTCCTGCTCATGAGCTTTTCAAATACCTGGGAGCTACAGGTTTTACATATCATGCTCTTCTTACTGATCTACTTGGTGGCACTGATGGGGAACATGCTCATCTTTATCCTCATCTCTGTGGATGTGCACCTTCACACCCCCATGTACTTCTTCCTGAAGAACCTATCCTTTTTAGATCTTTGTTTCATTACTGTTACTGTCCCCAAATCTATAGCAAATTCTCTCAGCCATAGTTACTCTATTTCTTACTTAGGATGTGCAACACAGGTCTTTTTAGGGATTTTATTTGCAGCATCAGAGGTTTTTATCCTCACAGCTATGTTCTATGACCGCTATGTGGCCATCTGCCAGCCCTTGCACTATGAAATGATAATGAAATATGAGTCTTGCATGAAGATGGCAGTTGCTTCCTGGCTTACTGGAGGTATAATTGGTCTAATGTATGCAGTTAGCACATTCTCCTTGCCTTTCTGTGGCTCCAAAGAGATCTGCCAATTCTTCTGTGATGTCAATTCCTTATTCAGGATTGCCTGCTCTAAGACATACGTTGCAGTTGATGTGACTATAGCTATTGGGAGTGTTTTAGTAATTCTCTGCTGTATCTTTATAGCTGTCTCTTATAGCCAAATCTTCTCAGCTGTGATAAAGATTCCAACCACAGAGGGTCAGTCAAAAGCCTTCTCCACTTGTCTGCCCCATCTCATCATTCTTACAGTCTTTGTGACAACTGGAGCCATGGCTTATCTAAAACCACCTTTGGACTCTGATACAATTGTGGATCTATTGTTGTCTGTGTTGTATACTATGGTGCCACCAACCCTGAACCCTGTTATTTACAGCCTGAGAAACAAGGACATGAAGCCTTCCATGAAGAAGCTCATAGCCTAGAAGCACTTTTCAGAGGGATTAATTGCAAAGGTTTTTCAAAGATCATACACATATATGCATACAGATACACACATCCATTCACCTATCTATCTATGATATTATATCATATCATCATATAATCTTCCTTAGGTAGATTATCATATATTTTATATACATATATGTGTGTAAATATATATGTATATGTGCATATTTATACATATATATACATATGTGTGCGCATATATACTTTACCATTTCCCCCAACACATTGTCACCTCTCCTAATGGCCCTCTTTCACTTATTTTCTTTTTTAATTTTTGTAAAATATACTTTATTATAACATTCCTTTTTAAATTTTGAGTTGCAAATTTCTCCTTTCTTCTAACCCCTCTCCCATCCGTTGAGAAGGCAAGCAATATATTAATCATACACATGAAGTCATACAAAACATAATTCTACATTAGCCATGCTGCAAAAGAAAACAAACCCATGAAAACAAGAAAAATAAAGTTTTTAAAAGTATGTATCAATCAGCACTCAGAGTTCATCAGTTCTTCCTCTGAAGGCAGACAGATTTTTCATCATGAATCCTTTGGAATTCATTTTCTTGGATCATTGTCTTAGAGATCAGAGTAGCTAAGTCTCTCACAGTTGATCTTCCTTACAATATTGTTCTTACTATGTACAATATTCTCCTGGTTCTGCTCACTTCACTAAGCATTAGTTCATGTAAGTCTTTCCAAGTTTTTCTGAAATCTACCTGCTCATTATTTTTTAGGAAACAATGGTAATCCATTACAATCATATACCACAACTTGCTTAGTCATTCCCTAATTGACGGACATCCCCTCAGTTTCCTATAATTTGCCACCACAAAAAGAGATGCTATAAATATTTTTGTACAAATAGATCCTTTTCCATTTTCTTTGATCTTTTAGAGATACAAACCTAATAGCACTGTTATAGGATCAAAGGGCATGTGCAGTTTTAAAGCCCTTTGGACATAATTCCAAATTATTCTCCAGAATGGTTGGATCAGTTCACAACTCCACCAACAATACATCAATTTACCAGTTTTTCCAAATCTCCTCCAGCATTTGTCCTTTTCCTTTTCTATCATTTTAGACAATTTGATAGGTGTGAAATGGTACTTTGGTTGTTTTAATTTGCATTTTTATTATCAATAGTGAATTAAGGCATTTTATATGACTATTGATAGCTTTGATTTATTATTCTGAAAGCTGCCTGTTCATATACTTTGACTCATTATCAATTGGGGAATGGTTCGCATTTTTTTTTTACAAATTCATCTCTGTTCTCTATATATTTGAGAAATAATTTCTTTATCAAGCAAACATGCTGCATTTTTTCCTTGTTTCCCAGTTTCCTCCTAATTTTTGCTACATTAGTTTTGTTTCCGTAAAAATTGTTAATTTCATGCAATCAAAATTATCCATTTTTCTTCCCATGATGCTTGCTAATTCTTATTTAGTCATAAAACTTCCCCTTATTCATATCTGTGGCAAGTAAAATTTTCCATGCTCCCCTAATTTTCTTAGGATATCACCTTTTCTGAATAATCATATACCCATTTTGACCTTATCTTCTATGTGGTGTGAAGAGTTAGTCAATATTTAGTTTCTCCCAGACCGCTTTCCAGTTTTCCCAACAATTTTTGTCAAATGGTGAGTTCTTACCTAAAATTTAGATCTTTGGGTTCATCAAACAGTAAATTACTATGGCCATTTATTACTGCCTCCAGTGTATCTAATCGATTCCATTGATCCATCACTCTATTTCTTAACCAATGCCATACTGTTTTGATTATTGCTACTTTGTAATGTCATTTGAAATCTTGTATTGCTAGGTCAACTTCCTTCACCTTTTGTTCATTGATTCCCTTAATATTCTTGATCTTTTGTTCTTCCAGATGAATTTTGTTTTGATTTTTTTCTAGCTCTATAAAATAATTCTTTAGCAATTTGATTGATATGCCACTGAGTAAGTAAATTAATTTTGGTAGAATTATCACTTGAATTGTAGTGGCTCAGCCTACTTGTAAGTAATGAATATTTCTTTAATTTAGGTTTCTATGTGAAAAATGTTTTGTAATTATTTTTATATATTTCCTGAGTGCGTTGGCAAGTAGATCTCTAGGTATTTTACACTGTATTCCATTCATTTATATGGAATTGCACTTTCTATTACTTCTTGCTTGGTTTTGTTGGTAATTTAATGTCTAGTTTGAATCTAGCAATTTTTCTGAAGTTGTTAAATATTTGCAACTAAATCTTTTGTTGCTACTATAGAATTTTCTTTGTATATCATCATATTGTTCTATTTCTTCTGCTCTTTTAACTCTTTTAACTCTTTTATCTGCTAAATCCTGTGTGATCCTGACTATGCCATTATATTTATGTGTTTTCTTTCTGGCTACTTGAAGTATTCTGTACTTGATCTGGGAGTTCGGGATTTTGGCTACAATATTCATGGTGGTTTTCATTTTGGGATCTCTTTAATGAGGTGATTGCTGGATTCTTTGAATTTCTATTTCCCCTCTTCTAAGATACTGAGACAGTTTATTTTACAATTTCTTAAAATATGGTGTCTAGGTTTTTCCTTTGATTATGACTTTCAAGCAGTCCAATAATGCTTAAATTATATCTCCTTGATCTATTTTCAAGTTCAGATGCTTTTCTGCTCAAATATTTCATATTTTCTTCCATTTTTTTATTCTTTTGACTTTGTTTTATTGTTTCTTGATGTAGTTTCCCTGAATGTCTTTTAATTAAGTCTATTTTTGTTTTTTCTTTGTCTGAGGTAATAATTGTTACCCCTCCTTTTTTACTTTAGCTGAAGCATAATAGATTCTGCTCCAGCTCATTACTTTAACTCTGTGGGTCTTTCTGTTTCAAGTGAGTTCCTTGTAAACAACATATTCTTGGGTTCTGGTTTCTAATCCATTCTGCTATCTGCTTCTACTTCATGGTTGAGTTAATTCCATTCATGTTCCCAGTTATGATTTATGTGTGTATCCCTCCATCCCATTTTCTTCTGTTTATCCTTTTCTTTTTTTAACCCTGCCCCTCCTCAGAGTCTTTTTTGCTTCTGACTACAGCCTCCCTCTTATCACCCTCCTTTTTATTTCATCCCCTCCCCCCATACTTTCACATTGAATAAGATAGATTTTATACCCAACTAAGTGTGTGTATGTTATCTCTTTGAATCAGTTCATATGAGAATGAGATTCAAGAGTTCCCAGACCATCGTTTCTTCCTATACTCTAAAATTTCTTCATTGCAAGCCTCTTTTATGTGAGATAATTCCTCCTATTCTTCTCTCTCCTTCTCCCAGTGCATTCCTTTTTCTCACTTCTCCATTTTTTGAGATCATTACAACATAATCAAGTCACATCTATGATTTCTGTCTATATAGACTTCTTTTAACTGCCCTGATAATGATAAACTTCTTAAGAGTTACATGTACTATCTGTCCACATGAGAATACGAGCAGTTAAATTTTCAGTCTTTCATGATGTATCTTTCACATTTACTCTTTTATATATCTCTTGAGTCTTATGTTTGAGGTTCAGTTATTCTATTCATCTCAGGTTTTTTTTGATAGGAATGCTATATTGAAAATTATAGCATCAAAATACTTATAAGAGAAGCTAATAAGTTACAGAGAGAAATAGACAGTAAAACCTTGATAGTAGTGGACCTCATACATTCTTTTAGAGCTAGACAAAACTAACCAAAAAATTAACAAGAAAAAAAAGGTAAGAGTCTAAATGGAAATTTAGAAATTGGTTCAAATGTTATAAATAATTATTGAAAGGGAAAAGGAAGAACAGTAGAGTATTTTTTGACACAGGAAAGCAGTAAACAAAATTATTACTCTAATGCAAACCAAAAGAACAATAAAGTGAAATTAAATGTTTTATAATTACAATGAAAAAGTTTGGTCCTAAAGTGGTGAAAAGAAAATGTACCTTCTTCCTTATGTGACAGTTGAAGGAGTATCATTTTAGCAGAGATCATCATAGTTTAGAAAGGACATTTATAACTTTAAGTATCCAGAGAAGACAAACAATCATGGTAAAAGGCTTTCAGTCCATGTCATATGAGGATCAGTTGAAAAAAACTATAGATGTTTAGATTGGATGAGAAGACTCAAAGTGAATATAAATTTAAAAAGGCAAATCATAGGATCACAGGATTAGAACTGGAAGGAATTCAGAGACCATCCAGTCCAACCTCTTCCTGTTATGGATGAACTAAAGATCAGAAAAGTTAAATGACTTGCCTGTGATCACATGTATACTAAGTGACAGAATCAGGATTTGAACTCAGCTCTTCTGACCACAACGCCAATATTCTTTCCACCAAATTGTGCTCTCTTTCTAAGGGAGCATAATTCTTTGGCATAATGGCAGGTCCACAAGGAGTCAGTGCACATGTGGACCTGGAGGTCTTAAAGGGTATGTCCTGTGAGAAGAAAATGTTAGCAATGGAAGGTTTAAGGAAAAGATGAAAAGGATTGAAAGAGCTAATGTGGCAATTGGGATAGAGATCTATTAGGGAGATGTAATGATTAGCTCTGCAGGCTCTGTTGAGATCATGCAACATAAATTTGCAGTTTAAATTTGCAGGAGCCAGTTGATAGAGTTTCATGATGTTCTCCACCTTCTTCTAACAGCACAACAGACAGTAGATGGGTGGAGTGATTCATAGCTAAGACTTAGGAGAGTAAAACTGGTGATATAAGTAGATAAAATAACTTAAGAGAAGATGACAACCTAGAATGTAACTGGTTCCTCAAGGGACCAAGATCTATCAAAAAAACACAATCACACCTTCCTCATTGGTGATAGAAAAAAATGAAAACAAACTTTGTGCCCAACGGTTGGGAAATAGTAGACAAATTGTATCTTTTTCATATTAAGGAATACTGTCTTACTATATTGCTGCATCATAAGAAGAGTTAACTATATAGTCCAACAAATATGGGAAGACTCAAAT